CCATGGCTGTAAGTCCTTGCAGAAGCAGACTGCCTCATCTTTCTTCCACAGAGAGGCTGGGGGGTTTGAACCACCGACATTTTGGTTAGTAGCCAAATGCCTTAACCACCACACCACCAGAGGGACTCTTGAAACCAAAAACCAAACTCACTTCCATCTTTTGTTGTTGTTATGTGCCGTCGAGTGGGACCTGACTCATGGTGACCCCTCCTTGGGTTTCTGAGGCGGTATCACTATGGAAGTAGATTGCCCAATCTTCCTGCTGAGGAGTGGCTGGTGGGTTTGAACCACCTGCCTTCTGGTTAGCAGTCAGATGCCTTAGGCACTACGCCAACATTAGCCATTAAAAATTCACTGCCATGGAGTCTGATCCAACTCCTAGTGATCCCTCCTTGGGTCTCCGAAGCGGTATCACTTCAGAAGTAGATTGCCCCATCTTCCTTCCGAGGAGTGGCTGGTGGGTTTGAACCGCCAGACTTCTGGTTAGCAGTCAAGTCAAGTGCCTTAGGCACTGCGCCACCAGAGCGCCTCACTGCCATCTAGTCGATTCCAATTCACAGTGACCCCCACTGGCAGTAAATCTTTATGGAAGTAAATCGGCCCATCTTCCTTCTGCAGAGTGGCGGGTGGTTTGGACTGCCACCCTTCTGGTTAGCAGTCAAGTGCCTTAGGCACTGCGCCACCAGAGCTGCTTGAGGGACTAAACGAGTTTGCGAGTTTGCGTGTATAAAGTGCTTGAGGCACTCCTTGTCCCTCCCTCTCAGACACTGCCAGGAGTGCCTAGGTATTTTGACAGCTAACCAGAAGGTTGGAGGTTCAAACCGACCAGCCACTCTGGGGAAGGAAGACTTGGCAAGCTACTTCCATGAAGATTTATCGCCTCAGAAACTGAATGGGGGTTGCTGAGTTGGAACAGATTCGATGGCAGTGAGCTTGGCTTTGGATTTTTTTGGCTCACCAGCCAGAGCAACTCCCAGCCTCTCCCCATGCAGCCATCTGGTCATCCCTGCACCTTGCTGAAGCAACTCACAGGGCCAGTCCACAGCTCCCTGCGTGGAGGCCCAGCCACTGCTCATGCCCTGAAAGGCCCATCCTGGCCCGTGAGGTCTCCCAACCTCCTACAGGCTTGAGGAAACCTCAGTGGATGGACCCGAGGGCTGGGCCATGCTCAGCTCAGAGACCCTCTCTCACTTCTCACCTTCCCAAGCCCAGCGTCCTCACACTCTGGACCCTGAACCCAGTAGGGTGGCAGAAAGCCCCTTAACAGGGAGACCCTCCCTTCACAGAGCCCCTCCCCTGCTGCAGAGCCCAGTCACCCCAAAGAATGTATAAGTGGCTGGACGTAGGAACCTTTCAAAAGGCCAGCTCTTTGTTGCTACCCTGGGATCTGGACGGAAGCCTGGGTGTCCCCAGCCTGCCCTGTGGTTTGGCAGGGCCTGTCCTGACTGCTCGGTGAACCGCGGCAGCCCCAGGACTCCAGCACTGCCTGAGACAAGCTGATGTCCAGGGCTGCCTGTACCCCAACATGCTCCAGGCCTCTCCAGGAGCACCCTCAACATGGCCTGGGCACCCCTGTATGCCCCAAGCCCTCATCCAGGGCACACTGACATGCTCTGATCTCTCCCACCAAACCCACTCTAAACCCTCACCTGGGACACCTCAACACACACAGAGTCCTCACAGAGGGCACCCCAACACACCGCAAGCCCTCGCCTCTGAGTGTCCAGGCTGAACCCTCTCTACCGAGTGCTCAGGGGCCCCGAGCAAGGCTGAGCCCTCGGCCCTTGCTGGGGGCAGTGCCTGTGGCAGGAAGCAACCCCAGGACAGCGGGTCCCTTAGGAGGGCACTTCTCCCCTGAGGATCAGAGGGCCCTTCCTGGTGCGTGCCACCCGAAGCACCCCTACTCCAGGAACCCAAACTGCCAACCAGCCCCCCAAATCCAACACATGTAAGACCCCTCTTCACAGGGCCTCTGCTTGGAGTTTCGGTCACACAGATGCCCCTTTGGGGGCAGGGGGCCTGCAGCCTGGAAGTGTTGGGCCCAGGACACCATCCTACCCAACCACCCACCAGCTCCATGAAGTTGGGAAGTCTAGTCCCTCTCTGGGCCTCAGTTTCCCCATCTGTAAAGTAAGGACATTGAAATTTCCTGAGCACCAGCAGGTTGATTTCTGAAAGTCCTCATTCATGTCGCCTATCCTGCTCAAGAGCCCGCGATAGCTCCCCACTGCCCTGGGAATCAACTCCAGCCCCTTAATCCAGGCAGCAAGACCCCCACAGTGGACACCTATGGTGCAGTGACTAATTTACTCTGGACCTTCTAGATGTGGTCTTTGTGACACCCACCAGATGACTGGGTGGGACTACACAAATGAGGTGCTTGTGGCTCCCCAAGGGGATTAGACAGCTTGTTGTCATTGTTATGTGCCGTCGAGTTGGACCCAACTCATAGCGACCCTTCCTTGGGTTTCCGAGGCAGTATTACTATGGAAGTAGATTGGCCAACCTTCTTTCTGAGGAGTGGCTGGTGGGTTTGAACCACCGACCTTCTGGTTAGCAGTCAAGTGCCTTAGGCACTATGCCACCAGAGCTCCTGACAGCTTGTTAGTAATGTAAATAAGGTACCTGGCCACACTTATGGGAGTGGGACCATTAGAATACACTGCATGGAACCCTAACATAGGGATTGGTCAGTTTTGCCATCCCACTAGGCTTAAAATTAACCACCCAGAGGTGGGAAGAAGGGGACAGATGACCACCATCAAAAAAGAAGAGCCAGGAGTGAAGCACGTCCTCTGGCCCTGCATCCCTGCACCCATCTTCCTTGTCCCAAGAGAAGGAGCTGTGACATCAGAGAATGTGATGTCACCAGCCAGAAGGGGTGGCACGGAAACAGAGGCAGCAGAGACAGCATCATAAGACTGGCACAAGACAGGGCGGTAGCTTCCCAGCTCACGGAGTGAGAGACAAAGCGGGGTGCCTTTGGCCAAAGCCGCCTGGGGGAGTGGGTTGCCTCTAGGGGCGGTGGGATGTCTCTAGGCATTTATGGACAGAACTAAAAGAGATTTATAACACTTGCCTGAGCAGGGTAGAGGCCAAGCCGAGGTCGAGGACGGGAGAGAGACTTGCCTGTGGGCAGAGCCGAGGGGAGGCTGTCCTGATGGAGGAGCTATATCCTGAGTGTTCCTGAACCTGAGCTGTAAACTGTCACTACCCTAATAAACCCCAAAATCATGAGTATTGTGCGTGAGTTCGGTGTGGCCATCGCAGCGGATTATCAAAGCCAACAGAGAAGCAGAGAGTGCCACGGGAGGGATAGTTGGTGTCAGAATTGGTAAAAAGGTCGGAGGTGGTGGCATGTCTGACTTCTGCCTCCTAGGAATCAGCCTTGGACTGTTGGCTTGATTCCCCTGCCCCACCTTGTGAACTTAAGAGGTCAGGTGGCACCTCCACACCCTGTTGACAACACCGTGTGCCCTGGCCCACTCTAGCCTCCATGAGATACCCTTTGACTCCAGCCTGCGTCTGGTCTTTCCTGTCGAGACTAGCCTCCTGCTGTCTCCCTGGCCCCTTCTTCCTCCCTTTCCAAGGAATGACTGGAAAAGCCTGGGAGTCGCATGGCTCAGCCTGAACTCCAGCTCTGCCCCTGACAAGCTGTGTGGCCTTGGGCCAGCCCCTCACCTCTCTGAGCTTCAGTGACTTCCTCCACTTGGTGAAATTACTGCCTGACTCCCCAGCAAGGAGCGTGGGGCACCAGGTCTCTGACATGAGACTCTTATGTGTGACAGATAGACATGGACAGACAGACAGACAGCTACTGAAGTCAGGAGGCCTCCTCACAGAGGTAGCAATGCGTGGACATACAGTCTGCCCTTGCTGGACTTTGCAGACCCATTTCCTAAGAAGTAAAGTGAGTCATACGGAGGCGAGAGAGATAGAAATGAACCAGACGCGATCTTTGCCCTCACAGAGGGAGGTTGCCATCTTGGGAGAGAAAACCGAGCAAGCCGGGACCTCTAGGAGTGGGGTCCTGGGAGAGGTGGAGGTGCCCAGGGTGCCTGGGCCACTGGTCCATGGGTCAGCGGAGGTGGGCGGAGGGAGAGTGCTGAGCAGAGGGCCATGGGCCGGGAGGGGACGCCGGGCCTGTCTGGAGAGCAGCACCATTTGCTGTGAGGGCGACCTGCGAGGGGAGGGACAGTGATTGTTCTGGAGAGCAGGGAGTTCATGTGGGGGAGGGGGCCTGGCAGCCCTAGGGTGCAGACTTTGCCCCCAGGGCAGCTGGCAGCCTCAGAGAGGTTTGCACTCTGAGGGGCTTCAGATGCCAGGCAGGCGCAGGAACCCGGCTTGGACTGTGGGGGTAAGGGCAGGGAGGAAGCCTTCAGAGGCATGGCGGCACCCACCAAGGACACCGGGGTGAGCCCCACTTAGGGTTGGCAGGGGCTCCCTGGAGCTGCTCCACGCAGCCTTGACGCCCCCTCAGACGTCTGAGCAGCCGGCCATCAAGGCTCCAGGCCTGCCTCTCAGCCCCTTACCTGGGACCCCACCTGCAGCACCAACTAGGGGGTGTGTCTGTGAACCCGGGTAAAACACTGCAATGGGCAATATGGACATGCATGTGGACTACCTAGTGTTTGTCCCCCGTGTGTGTACCATCTGTCCATTGTGTGGGGCCCCCTGTACCGGACCCCTCAGCCCTGCCACCTGCAGGGGCTGTCAGATCACCCGTCTGCCCGTCTCCCTCATTGGTACCATACTGAGCTTTGCCCTGAGGCCAACCCGCTCCTACAGGAAGTCCTACGGGTGGAGTGGATTCCTGAGTTTGGAGCCTGACCTTCATCCCTGGGTTCTGAATTCCTGGGACAGAGTCCTCCAGCCCAAAGCAGCCTGGGGAGGGGTAGAGGACCCCCAGGTGGCCACAAGCACAGCTTTCATCTCACCGTGTTTTTTTTTTAATTGATCTCCTGGGGACAGGCCCTCCCCAGCTGGAAGACAAGAACGTCTCATATTTTCCGGCTTCCAAAGGCAGGACGGTTTACATGCTCCGGGGAGGCCAGGAAGGCCTTGAGCTTGGGCCGAGCGCTGAGCCGCGCCACGTAGGCCGACAGCAGGGGCAGGGCATCCAGGCAGCCAGGGACCAGGACCTGATGGGTCATGAGGATGTCCAGCAGGCTGTAGTCAGCAAACGAGATCTGTGGGGCAGAGGGTGGGGGGCTTCAGCGGGTGGGAAAGAGTGGGGGCTACCAGAGCATGGGTTGCTCCCCATAGGTGTCAGTAGAGTTGGCGTTAAGGTTATGTCACCCAATGCAGTAACCCATGGGGTTACCCCCCCCCCCAAGGACCTCCTCTCTCATATCAGACCATACAGAATCCCAGAATCCGTGGTAACGTTTTTATCCATTTTGATCATTTGGAAAAAAAAAAAAAAAGCTCACTGCCAGAGTTGATTCCAACTCATAGCGACCCCTGCTGGGTTTCTGAGGTGGTAAATCTTTACGGAGGTAGAGTGCCCAGTCTTCCTTCTGTGGAGTAGCTGGTGGGTTTGAACTGCCAACCTTTTGACTAGCAGTCAGATGCCTTAGGCAGTACGCCACCAGAGCTCCTTTCATTGATTATAGAACAATACGTGATAAATATTGTAAATTTCTTAAGTGTCGTATTTCTTAGCTTATATGAATACTAGCAACAAAATTGTTTTGTAAAATATTTCTACACTGAATGATATTATTGGTTACACTGTTTTACAATATTACTGGTAATTGAGCAGAAGCCCTTTGTGATTGTTCTCCTTTTCCTTCATTGCCTACTTCATTCTCAAGTTACTGATAAAACCCAAAAAAACACACCCACTGCCATGGAGTCAGTTCTGACTCCCAGCGCCCCTAGAGGACAGAGTGGAACTGCACCACAGGGTCTCCAAGGCTGTCAATCTTCACAGAAGCAAAGCCCAAACCACACCCACTGCTGTGGAGTCCATTCTGACCCACAGCGCCCCTAGAGGACAGAGTGGAACTGCACCACAGGGTCTCCAAGGCTGTCGATCTTTAGTGAAGCGACGGAGAGTATGCGAACTGCTGTACAGAAAGTGAAATTGCTCTGTAAACTTTCATCCAAATCACAATTTAAATAAAAAAAAGATTTATATGGGATCAAAGAGGAGCCTTGGTGGTGCAGTGGTTAACTGCTCGGCTGCTAACCAAAAGGTCAGTGGTTCCAACCCACCAGCCACTCTGAGGGAAGAAGACACAGCAGTCTGTTTCTGTGAACATTTAACAACCGTGGGAACTCCATGGAGCAGTTCCGTTCTATCCATAGGTCGTCATGGGTCAGACTCGACTCCACGGCAGTGGGTTTGTATATGAGATCAAACTGACAGCGACACAGGAACCTCAGGGGGCAGTGAGTGCGCGCTGAGGGAAGAACAGTCCCAAGAGGGGAAAAGCAGGCGCACGGCTCAGGAGGGTCATCGAGTCACGGAGCTAAGCATAGACCGGTGTCACGTCCTGCCGCGTGCATTTTGTGTTATGTTCTGCCGTGTATATTTTGCAACAATAAAAAGGTTAAATTCTAAAAAAGCAGGAAATGGTGCGGAGGCTGGCCCAGCACTCACCTGGTCGCCCACGATGAAGGCCTGGCCCCCCTGGTTCTGGGCCAGCAAGGTCTCAAAGGGCTTCAGGTGCCCGGGCAGCTCTTGGGCATACTGGGCCTTGCCCTCCTCCTGCAAACAGCGAAGCAGGCTGCGCTACAGAGGGACAGGCCAGCCGCCCCCCACCTGACCCGCACTCCCCCACCCACCCACTCACGTAGTTATGGTGGATGAGGTGCCCGCAGCGCTGGCGCAGGTCCTCCACACCATCGTTCACCATGTCCACCAGGGCCGCTGCCCGTGAATCCTTGCCATACAGCCCTGGCCGGTGACCGGGCAGCGGGCTCAGGTCCGGCCGGCCAGCTCGCCACCACGCCCTCTGCCCCCAAAGCCTGCGGGTCTCGGCAGCCCTGCCTCAGGCCTGGGCACCGGGACCCTCCCTGGGCCCTGATTTTAGAAACCCCCACTCCAGCCTGCACTGCTACTCCCATTCCTACAGGGTGAGGGGTCACCCCCTGGGTTCCTGGGCTCTGGAAGTCTCTGCCACACCCTCAAGCTCACTCCCCCTGCTTTCTCCTCCTGAGGGCGGCCCAAGCCTGTGGTGTGTGCCTCCCAGGCTGGCAGACAGCTGTGGGGGCCTGGACGGGCTTGGATGGGTGGACGGGAAGGCCAACCAAGCAAGGGGGCCGGGAGGCGGGCGGCTGAAGCTGGAGGTCTCTCTGCCTGTTCTCTCACCCAGTCCTGCAGATAAGGAGGAGGGTCCCCTCTCTGCTGCCCCCTTTCCTGATGGCCACCCCCAGGGCCCTGAGCTTTCCTGGGGCCCCCAAAGTGGCCAAAGAGGAGGCAGCCATTGCCCTAAGCCACGTTTCTGGAACCTTGAAATCAGGCTGCAGGCTGGCTCCCTGAGACAGTGAGTCTTTGCCATATAGCCCGGGTCGGTGACCGGGCAGCAGGCTCAGGTCCGGCCGGCCAGCTCGCCACCACACCCTCTGCCCCCAAACCTGTGGGTCTCGGCAGCCCTGCCTCAGGCCTGCTGGCTGTGATGGAGCTGGAGCACGAGGAGAGAAGGGGGCTCTTCTCGGAAGCCCAGCCTCACCGGGACCTCTGACCAACACAGTCATGGGGACAGGTGACCCCCTCCACGTGGCAATCCAGGGAATACCACAGCCTGGGCTACACAGAGCTGCCTGGGGCGGACAGCAGCCCCCGGACCTCCTGGAGCCCACGCCTGCCTTTTCCGGGGCCCCCTGCCTGCCTTCCAGCCCCAGGATGCTGGTGGGGGCCTGTGGGCCCGAACACTCTGCTAGGGTCAGTCAGGGGGCTCACCGAGGGAGCGGCCCAGGTGCCGCAGGATGGTGTTGGACTGGTACAGCGTAAGGTCTCCATCCAGGAACTTGGGGAGCTGCCCGTACAGCTGGGGGGCAAAAGCTTGGTGAGGGGTGCTGAGTGAGCTGCTGCCTCCCGGTGGCAGGCCCCTGGGCCCAGCCGTGCGCCCCCAGCCCTCCCGTCGCTCACACAGGAGGCCTTGAGGGGGCCCTGCAGCCAGTCCTCTTTGGTCACCACCTCCTCCTTCCAGCTCTGGCCCTGGTCAGCCAGCAGCATGCGGATGGCCTCACAGCGCCCTGGGGGACAGGAGGGTGTGGGGACGGGCCTGGGGAAGGCATTGGGGACTCTGGGCTATGGGAACCTCTGGGCAGAGACCCGGGAAGGAGGCTTGGGCTTGTAGTCACATGAGAGAGGAATAAGAGAGGCCTGGAGTCTCTCCCAGGTGGGTGAAGGGGGTTTGGGCTACAGCCACCCCTTAGACACCTGAGTGAGGGGAGAGAGTCACAGAGGTGTAGGGAGGGGACAGAGACCACAGTCTTGCATCACCCTGGGGGCGGGGTGTCAGGACCTTTAAGAGAGAGAAAGAGAGAGAGAGAGAGAG